AGCCCCAGCTTTGGCATCGCCCCCCTGCCTGCCAGACTTTCCGTGCTGTCAGGGCCAGGCTGGGCTTTGCTGTCCCCAGGGGACCCAGCTCCCAGTGGGGCTGGGTGGGACCCAGTGGCACCCAGCCAATGGTCCCAGTTGCTCGTGCTGTCTCCTTCCTCATGTTAACCAGGGCCCATTTCCTTCTCTTCCCTCTCTTCTCCACCACCCAAAGGTCCAGGTTACCCCACAGCCGTGCCGGTGCCGGCATCTCCCTCTGTGCCTGATGCCACATGCTTCACCCCAACCCTGCGCACGCGGGCTGGGGTCTTTCCCTGACCTCTCCTCCTTGTGCAGGAGAGGGATGTTTTTTGATATTTCTTTGGATTTTAAGCATAGCTGGTGGTTTTTCCTTCCCCCTTGCAGGGCAGAGCATGGCCTCAGCCCTCCCACTGCTGCTGCTCTGGGTGTTTGCCCCCACGGTGGTCCCGGAGGTGTTTGGTCCTGGAGATGGCACAGGTAACTCGGCATCATTGGCCGCATCTGCACCGCTGCCCGCCCCATCGGTGGGGTCTGGTGGGTGGGCACCACCTGCCAGTCCCACTCACGGCTCTTCTCTTCTCCCACCCAGAGGACCTCAAGGCTCTGCAGGTCTCCATCCCACGTCACCCAACCCTCGACGCCGTGCTGGCGGGCGACATCACCATCCCCTGCCTCATCACCTACCTTGGCCCCCAGCCCACCACTGGCACGGCTGGCCGCCGGGCGGTCCTGGGAACCCCCCGGGTCAAGTGGACTTTCATCTCTGAGGGCAGGGAGGTGGAGATCTTGGTAGCCCGGGGGGACAGGGTGAAGGTCAGCGAGGACTATCGCCTCCGCGCCTCCCTGCCCATCTTCCACCAGCGCTACACCAACGCCTCCCTGCTGCTCACCGAGCTGCGGCCCAACGACTCGGGAATCTACCGCTGCGATGTCCAACACGGCATCGAGGATGGCCACGACATCCTCGACGTCAAAGTCAAAGGTACCTCAAGGTGGGGAGCGGTGGGAATTGGGGGTGGGGAGCAGAGGTCTACCCTGCCCAGGGACGACCCTCTCCTGGCTCAGCAAACCCCTCCTGCACGCGGGTGCAGATGCACCCGCGTGGGTGGGGGGGCTGCTGTGAAGGTGCACCTGGGTGCAGATGCACCCATGCAGGTGGGGGCTGCTGTGAAGCCCCTTGCCCCATGCTCGTGTCCCCCTCCTCCGCTGCAGGGGTGGTGTTTCACTACCGGGAGGGCTCCATGCGCTACGCCTACACCTTTGCCGAGGCGCAGGAAGCTTGTGCCAGGATCGGCGCCCGCATCGCCACCCCTGAGCAGCTGTACGCTGCCTACCTTGGTGGCTACGAGCAGTGTGATGCTGGCTGGATCGCCGACCAGACTGTCAGGTGGGCATCGCCGCCGCCCGGGTATCGCACCCATTGCCTCCCCTTGCACCCCTCGGCAAGTCACCAGCCCTCCCCTGTGCTTTCCTGCCCCAGGTACCCCATCCACATGCCCCGTGAGGCTTGTTACGGTGACATGAACGGCTTCCCTGGGGTGAGGAACTACGGGGTGGTGGACCCAGAGGACATGTACGATGTGTACTGCTATGCCGAGGACCTCCCAGGTGCCTGTGATGCCCCCAGCCCCATTCTACTTTTGTGGCCGTGCTAACTCGCCCCCATAACCCGCTGTAAACCCGAGTGAAAAAGCCGCCCTGAACTGCAGGTGCTGGCTCCAAAACCTCTGAGCTCTGCAAAGCTTTGGGCGCTTTGGTGCATGCAAGTGCGGGGCTTCGATGTACTGCTCCCCGAAATGTTTCTGGTTTGGTTTTGTGGGGTGTTGGGGCTCTCTCCCTCACAGCAGCCGTTGCTCATCCCTGGCCTCAGGGCCGGAGGATGCTCAGGGTGATCTGCCTCGGGGTTGGCAGCACGCCATGGGTGGTGTTTTGGGGTTTGGGCAAGCTCACGCCGTGCTTTGCATGCGCTGGGGTGCTGCATGTCCTGCAGCTCGGATGCGTCCTGCCTGGCCAGGTGTGCATGGGGGTGGCTGACTCCCTCCTTTGGGGGTGCCCTCTGGTGGCCGCAGCTGCTGTGGGGTTGGTTGGGGTGATGCCAGGCAGGTGGCAGGGATGCGGAGCAGGTCGCTGGTGTGCGGGGGTGTGATGCTTTGGGATGGGGAGACCAGTGTGGCTGTGGGGGTTGCGGTCTCCAGCCCTTCTCCAGCATGAAGTCCCACCACAGCCTCCGCTGGGCTTGCAGGTCCCCTTCGAAATGTCCCCTACGTGGATTGCGCTGGGCAGGGCATGGACTTGCTCCTCTGCTGTCCCTTTCGTGGATGTTTTAGTCTCAGCTCCGTTTGTGAGGGCAGGTGGCACGAGAGCTCTGGCCGTGCCCATGCCAGGGTTGTCGTGTGCATGCGTGGGGACACCGGGCACAGGCAGGGAGGCAGGCAGGGCCCTCCAGCCGTCGGTGCTCCTCCTTGCAAGGACCACGTTGGAGATCCCCATCTCCAAGCCAGATCCTGGGGTCGTGCAGAGAGTGGAGGAGGCAAGGGAGCTCCCAGAGCCCATGCCCCCCTCCCCAACTCTGACACCTGTCTCCTTCCTCTCTTTCGCAGGGGAGATCTTTTTGGAGACGGCCCCAGACAAATTCACGCTGGAGGAGGCGGCAGAGCGCTGTCGGGTGCTGGGTGCTGAGCTGGCGCGCACGGGGCAGCTCTATGCAGCTTGGAACGCGGGGCTGGACGCCGGCCGGCCCGGCTGGCGGGC